AATTTCAAGATTCCATCGTTTTTTTCTGCTGAGTAGTACTCCATTGTGTAAATGTACCATATTTTCTCTATCCATTCTTTGGTTGAGGGGCATCTAGGCTGCTTCCAGTTTCTGGATATTACAAATAATGCTGCTATGAACATTGTTGAACATATGTCCAGGTTGCATTTTTATAGCATCCACCAGAGAGAGCACAAAGGTACTATTTTGCCTAGAAAACTCTCAAAGTGTCTTAAAGGGCTCCTTCAGAATAGGGATCTAGAACCCAGAGAGGGTAAAAAACTCCTGCCTAGCAGCAGTGTGGGCAGTCCCTAACTAGCCACTGGATCTTCTAGCAGGGTGTTGTAACACATTGTTCTTTGAATACCTGATGCCAGCTGTAGCTTCTCCTTCCCAAAGACACACATCATCACACACAGCCCAGATTCTGCATCCAGCTTTCAAGAATGAAGTAGCAGCTATCTATCAATGCTAAGGGTGAGTGCACATGGCAGGTTGCCTCTGTGTCTTTATTCATCCTTGTTCCTCCTCTTTGTAAGTGTAAGTACACTTTGGTCCCATGAGTTTAAAAACATTTCCAGATGGCAAATAACCTTTGAAGGCCAAAGCCCGTGACTCCGCCAGAATGTTCAGCCTCTCAGTGGCATCTGGCACAGGTGCCTACTCCTTTTTTCCTCTAAAGCTTTAACGTGGCCTCCAGGCCACCAAGTCCCATTCCCCTGGCTCTCCTCCTATCTCTTTGGCCACATTTTTCTCCCTAACTTCTCCGCCTCTGCTTGGCCTCCTAAATATGGATAACAGCCCCCATCCCCCTTTTTGAGACAGGGTCTTTATATGTAGCTCTGGCTGTCCTGGAACTCTCTGTGTAGTGCTGGCTATCCTGGACTCTCTGTGTAGCACAGGCTGTCCTCCTAAGTGCTGGGATTACAGGTGTGTGCGCCATTTCACCCAGCATTCCAGTCCTTTTCTCCAACTATTACATATAGCCCTATAATTATAACCACTCCAAAATGTATTACTTCTAGCTTCTATCTTTCCCTCCTCACACCTCAGAGCCTGCTTGACTTTCCAAATGGATGTCTGGTTGTGTTGGTGGGATAGTGGTAAGCATAGTTACCTTCCAGATGGATGTTTGATGAACTGTCCTGAGTTAACATGTCCTGAAGAGAGCTCTCATTATGCACCCAGACATTTTTCTAACTCACTCTTTGGGGTCTTCCCCACATCAAGAAGTGGCACACAGTCCACTGACCTGATTAGGGCAACATTTACAAGTCAGTTCCTCAAGTTCCATTCCAGATGGCTGGCTGAGCCTGCAGACTCCTTGTGCAGAAGATCCCCAGCTGTGCCCTTCACCACCTCTATCTCCCCCCTCCCACCTCTCAAGCTCCGCCAGAGCGTTTATAGCTGCTTCCACTGTGGTCTCCTCAGTCTGCTCTCTACACAGATGGTCTACAAGACTAATCATGTCACCTCCACACTCAAACTGCTACAGTGTCTTTCCACCGTTTAAAATTAAACTGTCACGTGGGAGGCAGAGGCAGGAGGATCAGGAGTTGAAGGTCTTCTTTGGCTATATCACAAGTTCAAGGCCAATCTGGACTACAGAATATCCATCTTTAAAAAACTGAAACAAGCAAACACTGGAGTAAGCCTCATTCTCCTGCTGGCTGGAGTCCTGGGAGATTTTTAGGTGGTCTAGAGTTATGCAGAGTGGCAGACTCGGACTCCAAATTCAAGTCTCATCCCAAACCCATCAACTTTCTACTCATGATGGTATCGCTGGTGACACACAGCCAAGCCCAGTGGGGTTTGGGCCACTCCTCACTGGCTCAGAGTTCAATGTTGAATGTGCCTGATGGTTCTTCCCCCAGACTGCATGACACTAAGCTGTCCTGGCTTTATCCCCAGAATACCTGTTTTTGTTGTTGTTCCTTAAGAACTCTTGTTCCCCCTCTTTGCCCAACATTTGGGTTTCCCAGGGAGATACCTAACATCTTCTAATCTTGTCCCACTAGCTCTCCCCACAATGCTCCACTGTAACCTCACTAGGACACTCCTGACATTTGTGTGTCTTGGCAGATCCTCTCCTGGTTGTCCTTTAAGCACTCAGGATCAGCAAGTCTAGAACAAAGCTCCTCCCCTGACCCTACCCCACCCAGCATTTAGGAGATTGTTCAGTCTTGTGAATGTTTTTCTAATTTGTGGAAATATTTCCACTTATTGAAAGAATTAAATTAGAATCAGATATGGAAAACAATAATATATAACGTTTTATTTATTCTTGATTCTTTTGTTTTGCAATATATGTTATTGTATTGACCTTTCATATCTTTGCAGAGACTCAAATGTAACAGCATATAGTGATTTAATTCCATGCAGTAATAATTGGATACATGAAACGTATACGTATTAAAGATTAAATAGATGAGAAAAACCTAGGGCAGCTTGACTAAGTCAAATACACTTCTACCCAGTTAATTAGAAGCATAATAAGCAGGGAAAATACTTTTGAAACACTTTGTGCTTCAAAGAGAATACACTACTCACTATCATTGTCTTGTTTTAAAATGTTCACAGTGGCCCTGGATGGAATTTGGAGCATCAAAAGGAATCTCCCTATGGGAGGCATGATGCCAGGACAGCAGAGCAGAAACAGTTCACTTCCACAAGCCAAGTACTATTCAAGGCATGGAGGGCTGAGAAGTAAGACCCCTGTACCCTTGACTTCTACAGGTACCCTGAGGGGACTGCTCAGCTTGCAAACAAGTGGCACCACTACTAAGAACCTCAGCCAAAAGCCAGCTTGCTCTGTCAGGTCACATACTTATCCACTTTGTCATTCTGGGACTCAAGCAGTTCAGCTAAGAAACACGCCTCTACAGACAGCGGAGAAGTGCATAACTAGACTTAAACGTCTGACTGTTTTCTTTACTTCTTATGTGCAAAAGTTTCTTGTGTACATTCCTTTCTTCTGAACATGATGAAAATTAAGTGAGGGAATTAAGGAGGGACTAGGCACGTAGTTTCACCTTATTCTAGGTAAATGGGTCACCTGTATAATGTACTCTTCAGAAGACATAAGCTTAAAGAGAAGCATTCCTCATTTCTGTTACAATGTCTGTTTGTCACAACATCTGTAGCAGAATATGGGAAGGAGACAGGGGTCTTGACATAGGAGCAATGTGCAGATGGTGTAGAGACACGCAGCTGAGCATCAATCTATAGCTGTGAGATAGCCCTGGGTGAAAAAACAGCTGCACACAGAAGCCAAGCATGGGTCTCTTCTCTTCTCTTGTCTTCTCTTCTCTTGTCTTCTCTTCTCTTCTCTTGTCTTCTCTTCTCTTGTCTTCTCTTCTCTTCTCTTGTCTTCTCTTCTCTTCTCTTCTCTTTTCTCTTCTTTTAAAAAATAATTTAGGTTTTTGTTGGTTGTATGTATGTGCGTGTGCGTGTGCGCGTGTATCTGTGTGTGTGTGTGTGTGTGTTTGCTAAGTGCCCACAGAGATCAGAGGTCAGAGGTCAGACACAGGATTAGATCTTTTGGAGCTTGAGTTAAAGGCATACTATGATGTAGATATCGGGATCCAGACGTTGGTCCTTGGCTAGGACAGTGCATGCTCTTAATCACTAAGTCAGCCCACTGTGTGTTCTTAACCAGGATATGGATCATCTCAACAAATGCTATAAACACTACTGTTTCAGATTGTTAATATATTATTTAAGCATTACACCAGCCATAAGGAATAGACATAATCCATTTTTCAGATGAGGACACTGAGGCACAAAAAGACTGAAGAATTACCCAGTGCCACCTAGCTATTGAGTATAAGTGCTGGCTTTGAACCCAGGAAGCCCATCTCCAGAGCCCATGTCCTCAACCACAAGGTTCTCCTGTTCCCAGAGCTCAGAAACTGGGATATCTACTGACGCTAAGTGACATGTGGGCACAACACAAGTACCACAAAAGAGGAGGCCAGTATGGGCTTGAGGGATATGGGTGTTGCAGTTACTGAAAACTGAGATATAAGATTAAAGTAAAAAATCACACAAGACTCAGCCATGCAGCATGGGTTGGCAATAATAAAGCAGTTGCCATTATTTACCACATGCAAGGCAGGACAACAAGCAATTTGCATAGTTATATAGCCCACATGATCAAAAGTTGAGGATGGTAAGCTCCATCTCTCAGGTAAGAAAATTTGGTGATAGGAAGGACATGATGATCCTTGGTCTGAGAGCTAGTGTAGTGGAAATTACCAGCCGATGCCCCTCTAGCCTCCCAGACTGTGCCATAGCCACTGGCCATCATTATGGAGATTCTGGTCACTGGACAATAGGGTGAAGCCATCAAATCACATAGTTGTGGTTAACCAGGCCAAAATGCCAGGACTGTGGCAAGGCAGCATTAGAATCTGAGAGGTGAGTCCATTTGTAACCCACAGAGAAATCAGTGCTTTTAGTAAACTTGACTTAACCTGTAATCCCTGGTGCTCACTGGCCAGCCAACCCAGCCAAATCAACGAGCTTCAGGTTCAGGGAGAGACCCTGTCTCAAAGAATAAAGTAGGGACAATCAAGAAATACTGACACCAAACCCTGGCTTCCATTGTATACACACAATCTCTCTCTCTCTCTCTCCCTCTCTATCTCTCTCTCTCTCTCGCTCTCTCTCTCTCTCTCTCTCTGTGTGTGTGTGTGTGTGTGTGTGTGTGTGTGTGTGTGTGTGTGTGTGATCAAAATAGTGTGGCTCTCCCAAGTTTAGAGTCATGGCTATTCAGCAAGTTCTAAAGCCTAGTTTAGAGACTGCACAGCACCTGCCGTCCTCATCACATCCCAGGGTTTTGTTCATTGGCTTTCCTCATCACTTCTTTATTCTGCACTATGTTAACAAACCAAAAAAGAAAGAGAAAGTCATTTAACCACTGCTAAGCTTGAATTGCCCATGCATTACATGTGTTCCTTATGACAACTCGATTCTGCTTCAGGTCAGGCAGGGCCCAAGGCAATTTTAAGCCAGCATCTGAGTAATGCCAACACTGCCCAAAACCATGCTGCTTCGGTGGGGGCTTAGAGGCTGGACTGTGGCTTCCCGGTTAAAAGGAAGCCTGTGGCTTTCACACACTGTTCTTCATGTGAGCCACTATGAGGATCGTGGTTCAATCTAACCAAACCTAGACTGAAATGGGTTTAGGATTAAAGATCATCTCCCCAAATAAAACACTTTGCTCACATATTCTTTTTCTGACTCTAGGATAAGATGGACACACCCTTCCACAGAGATGGAACTTTCATTCTCCTAATGTTCAAAGACAGAAGAAACTCAAGCTTGTTTCTCAATTTAAGATGCATGGAAAAAAGTCTTTTAGTCTGTAATACCAATGTGTAAATCAGTCCAAAGCCACAAAATACTATTGGGAAAATGTGCTAAGAAAAAATACACTTGTTTTTACTTTTCACAGTTGGGATGTATTAGGCTTCTGTTCAGCTTATTGTATTAAATTTATCAAACAAAGGCACAACTCTTATTCATTTCAAGTTAAACATTATGAAACTGAAACTTTACTATAGTGTAAAGGGATAACCCATTTCTTGTTTGGTATAGAGGGTGATCCAGACACAGAGCAGAAAGCACAGTACCCACTGATTAGTTAATGAATGATCAATAAAAGAGCTTTGGTTTAAAGACAATCCTTTTCTTACAGCTCTGTAGATCTCATTGTTTCTATAGAATTTGCTTACTAAATGGTAAGGAGCCAGGCTATCTTTTTACATGAATAAATTAAGTACATATGACATATTATATATGATATATATATTCTTATGGGTTTAAAAAGAGGTTAACCATTGACATCTGAAGCAAGCTTGTTCCTAATTTGAACTAATAAAATAAAATAAAATAAAAAGAGGTTAACAAGAAGAGAAAAACCCAGCTGGGCGTTGGTGGCACACGCCTTTAATACAGCACTGGGGAGGTAGAGGCAGGCGGATCTCTGTGAGTTTGAGACCAGCCCGGGCTACAGAGCGCGTTCCACGACAGCCTCCACAACCACACAGAAACCCCGCCCCCCAAAACAAAAAACAAAAAACAAAACAAAAAAACAAGAAGAGAAAACCCTTTCACCCACTTCATAGAAATATACAGAATGTGAAGGAGGGCAGGAGAGATGGCTCAGTCATTGAGAGCTCTTGCTGCTTTTACAGTGAACCCAACACTCCCACAGTGGATCATAACCGTAGTTCCAGTTCTAGAGAATCTGACACCCTCTTCTAGCCTCTGTGGCTACTACAAGCATGTGACACATAAACATACATGCAGGAATAACATTACACACATAAAGTAAAAATAAATCAAAAGAATTTTTAAAAAAATGTAAGCTGGATAGTGGTGATGAATGCCTTTAATTCCCCCCCCCAATGTAAAGGAGGCCTGGGGTGTGGCTTGGAGTCCTTGTCTTGCATGCCTGAAGCCATGGCTCTGTGATAAACATTGGGTGCCCAGCACTTGAGAGGCAGAGGCAGGAGGATCAGAAGTTAAAAGTCATCCTCGACTACATAGTGAGTTTGAGGACAGTGTGATCTACATGAGATTAACCCAAACAACAGCAACAACAGAAATACAAAGGAAAACAATGTAATCGAGCTTTCAGAGTCATGATATTTTTTTTCCTTTTTTCCTATGCTTATTTTTCTTACTTGCTTGACACCATGCTGTGATTCTCAACCTGTGGGTTACGATTCCTTTGGGGGCCAAAGATGCTTTCACAGGGGTCACACATCAGATATTCTGCATACCAGATACCTACATTAAGATTCATAACAGTAACAAATTTACAGTTATGGACTAGCAGAGAAAGTAATTGTATGGTTGGGAGTTACTACAACAGGAGGAGCTGTATTAAAGGGTTGCTGCATTAGGAAGGTTGAGAAGAACTGCACTAGAGTATATACATTTATTATCCTACTTAATGTAACAATGCTTAACTTCAATTCATTTGTGCATCATGAATAATTCTGCAAAAGTGTGTATAAAGCTGGGTGTGGTTACTCCAGCCAGTAATCTCAGCACTTGGAGGCTAAGGCAGGAGGACTGCCAAGAGCTGGAGGTAAGTTCTAGGCCAGCCCAGCTACAGAGGGAGACCTGTCAAAACAACAGCACATCATACTTAATTTATTCATGTGTTAGTCTGTTCAGTTGGTATTTGGACTTTTCTAGTTTGTTGATCCTCATATCCTTTGTGATTTATCTGACAGTAAAGATTCTGTTTCCCTGTTTTCCAGTTTTAGCTGTTGTGTTTACCTTCCCCTGCCCCAGCATAAGCCCACTTAAGCCCGCTCAGTTCCCATTCTCAAGTTCAGCCCTGTTTCTAATAGAGTGAAATGAATGGCGATTTGCTCGCTGGCATGCCCTGCTTCTGCTTAAATATCCACACTGTGAAACAGTGTCTTGAGTCAAGATCCAAACTTTTCCAGACTTAATACAAAATTTTCCATTTAGTTAAAGCACCCTGAATGAGGTGTGTGTGTGTGTGTGTGTGTGTGTGTGTGTGTGTGTGTGTGTGTGTGTGTGTGACAAGGGGTGGGTGTGGATGTGTTTGCAGCCACCACCATGTTCCAGAATGCTTCATCAAAACCAGCACTGTGAACCAGAAGCTGAAGCCCAGAGACTACATCTTAGAGTGGTCAAGAGGCACCAGAAACTGGTTAGTTAGGGTAAAGCATGAATAATCCTACAGGTCCAAAAT